TTTTCCAGATATTTCACGGTGGTGTCGATTAAGTTGTTAATAGCTTGTTTGTGGAACACGGGAATAAGGTAAAACCAAATGCAGACATCAGTCTCAACCCTTTCGTTGTGAAGGGTCCAGGGATCCTCCGTCATCAAGGTAAATGTGCTCCCTTCAATTCACATCCCGTTTTCGCCTGTATCTTTATCTACTGCACTTCGATAGGTAGAGTCAGACTTCCTTCTACGCATGTATAGCTCATGATTGCCAGAATGCGCTTCTTAATCTTGGATTTCTCCCCTAAAAAGCGAAATTCGTTTGCAGTCTTGTCTACTGGTTGGGTTATAACCTTCATGTCGTGAAAATAGAGTTTTCGACTTTCCGGCCGAGGGAACCCGATTTTGGGGTGTCTGCATGTAATGAACCAGTGCATCATCCGATCGAACCGTTGCTCTTCGGTTTGTTCGTACTGTTCTTTTCTGGAAATCAGTCGGCTAATTGGCAAAGTTTAGTAAGGTAAACGTAGGATGTCAGTAAGAGAGTGCTCTCTGGTGGGCAACACATTTTCCCACACACTATGTCGCTTTCAAAAGCACCTTATTCCTAAAAGTCGTTAAAAAGATGCCGGGTTCGCTTTCCGCTGCTACCAGTGTAGCGTCCCGAGGCTTCAAATGGGGTAATTGAAGGCATAAGTGGGGTTGAATACATGTATTCCGAAAGCAATAGGAGAAATGGGGCCTGAGCGTAGCCCGAAGGCCAGCCAACGTGTACAGGGTCCAGTCAAGTCCTAAAAGTGACCGCCAAACATCAGATAGTCGCATAAACAAAGCATTACAACGATAGTTCCTCTATTAAATGCACGTAAATCCTACCCGTGCTTTATGCCTCTTTGTATCTTCATGATTGTATCAGTGATTTGCTTTGGCGCAAATGCTAAAATAACCTGGCTTCGCAATTGTAAACACTGTATAACATGCAAAGGTTATGCATTTAAATATCATACAGGCTTGAAGCAGCGTTTGAATTGTTCTCCTTTTCCATTCTCGTGTTAGGCACGAATGCAAATCACAGCTCTAATGTCCCGACACTTTCCACCGAGTAGAAAAAGGCATTAGGTGTGGCTGAATGCAAGCATTTTAGAATAAGCAAAATGATTAACCCTGAGCTTGACGTGAGAGCAAGCCCAAGCATACAAGTGTCTTAAGAACTGCCATGCATCCGTCCTCAAGGAAAAATCATAGTGAAATGACAATCAAAGATGCAATTTTTGGCACTTTATTTAACACGCCTTTATATTGGGAAATAATAATTTACCGATGCATGGCAAATGTGTACATTTTTGGGGGGGTTGTCGGTGTAATATATTCTAGTTTGTTTAAGTGAACTTTCATAGGGGAAACGTGGATCACGTGCGCGAGGTCGCCGAGAGGTCTCTCTGCTATTGACATCTCCTGCTCACCGCATCTGTGTTTTATTCCCCCATCCTTCTTACAGAGATGCCTAGTAAACCGTCTACAACCAACTTCCTCTTAAAGTCTGAGAATCAGGGACCAGAGGGTAGACAGGCAGTAACTACAGTCGGTAAGAGCTGAAATCGGATATATCGAGTTCTGGGATTACTGATTTTATGCAAGGATGAGGCTACAATAGAGTTCTCTGTTCCTCTCTATAGTACGTTGTTCATTTGACCTTCTGACATTTGATTTGCCTGACCCCTGTACGCTTGGGCTGGCCTTAAAGCCAAGCTCAAAAATAGTCCCTTTTTCACCCCACTTAAGCCTAATGAACATGTTTAAAATGTGGAATAATAAGTAAGATGACAATGTGTATCCTAAGATTTGAATCAGTAAAGTTAATATCCTTCCATTTCGACTACAATTTATTTGGGCCTCCTTATCCAAACAAATGAAGCACGTATTATAAGGCGGAAGAAATCAGCAGTTTCCCTATTACAAAATAGTTGCAAGTGGTATCTGCCTTAGGTAGTTCAAGAATTATGCCATTAATTGCGCAACCTACACCTTAAACCATCTGATATCAATAACTAAGAAGGATTTTTGAGAGAATTCTTCTTATAATTTAAGAAGAAATGGCAATCTATCCACATGGTATTATGGTAAAGCCTGCAACAGATAATAGTAAACGAATATGATGACTAGCAAGTTCTACATTCCTTGGAATAAGTGAACTTTGGTGTAAGATACATTTTCTTGATCTTGTTAAAATATCATTTGGTGAAACCAGCTTAAGAATATAGTTTTTCGTCAGATATTCCGTTGTAACTAGTCTCAAATGGAATTCTATCTTGGCGTCTAGAACATTTGGTTCCAATTATGAGCGTCTGCGCAAAGTTACTATTGTGCTTTACATAGAAGAAAACTCAGAAAGGTATTCGACCTGAAATAATCGCCACTCATGCAAGCAGTGTAGTGCTAGGAGAATAAGCAAAAATAAAAAAATGGATTAAGTTGGACTTGTAGCACATATTCAAAAAAAGATGAAAAGACAAAATAGCAAACGCCTGCTTACCCTTAAACACTTAAACCACGGACACTAATGGGGGTTTAATTACAATAGATTTACTAGGCATTGAATACAAGAATAACAGGGATGGGGACATAGACGAGATGAATAGCAAACATTACACGGGGAAGGATTCCTCACGATCCTCACTCACCGGATTCGCATTCAAATTTACTTTTCGCCTTTCCTTTATCAAGGCGAACTCAAATACATACTACAGACAAATAGCTGAGCCTGATCAGAAGGCCATCCCGCGAACAAGTGCTTGACGAATGCTAACGAAGCCGTCAAATGTCAGATGTCACATAGGAAAATGAGATACGCAATGTTGTAGTAATCATGTCCTTTCCAATTAAATTAAGATATGTGAGCCGGCTAGAAGTACTACCTAACACTATGCTTTCCGACATCCAGCAAGATACATTAACAGGTAAAATCGACAAAATTTAAGATACTTTAGTAAACTATTGCCAATGTAAACTAGTTGTATTCAGCTAATAAAAACTATAAATGTTAAAACTAAAAATATCGAATTAAACATTTTTTGCAGACATGGAAACAGGTCGTGTTTATCCACGTCAATATTATTTTTTGTTCAGCCCTTATCGCGGTTGAATTTTCATTTCGCAGAATCGATGACCTTATCACTATGACTGATTACAAAAGTAAATCTCGACATTTAATGGGATAACATTTTTAGAAGTCTTTATTGACGCCGAAACTCTTAATGACAGCCAAGCAGATAATATGCATAGGCAAGCTATCACGAACTATCCTCCATTTTTCTTTACGAATAGGCAATCTCTGCTTTTTTGTTGTTGTAAAAGACACTAGCAATGACACAACTTATAAATGAGTCAGAGTTTAGGGCACACTTTAGGATTATGTGGGCTAATTTGCATTACATTCTTGAAAAATATTTTTGCGAGAATAATTTTTTGGAAGTTTTGTGGTTTTATTTGTGCAAATGCATTTTATTTGCGATTTATGCAAGGCGAAGCATTTTTTTGCATGGCCTTTTGGAACGTTGGCCATACTTTTTTGATTTTTAAATAGTTCCATTGAAATTCGAAAACTCGCGTAGCATCATCAAAACTTACTTATTGGTAGAATTGCGTGACGTGTACTTATCAAATAAAAATTCTTTTTCGTTTGTATCTAAGTAAAACCTAAATCTGCTGGTGTTATGCATTGTGGCTGCACTATTAGTCTTGCCTACTTTTCGGCGCCTCTAGATTTTAAATTGTTTGATTTGTAAACAGCAAATTGGTGTACTATAAATTTTGCAGTTGCTACTTTAGTCTTCCCTACTTTTCACATTTTGCGGCTCACAAACCAGCTTTAGGGAGGATATTGATAAGAGCTGCATTGTCAATCATTATATCCAAAATAAGGTTTGGTGTAAGCATGGGTATGATGTTAAGTGCATCAACCACGTGCATTTAAACTAGCCCTTTATCCATTATATATCAAAGTTAAGCATGTCCGTTTTGCCAAAATTTTGCCAATGCTGTACGTAATTTTTGCAAGCAGAATTTATCCAATTTAATTTATTATGGATGATAGTTTGAAATGAAGAAGTTGGCACATTTTTATTTATGTAACTATGGGTTGAAAGTTTAATTTTCCGTAAAGTTGTATGCAGAATTCGACCTAAATT